CTAGTATTGATGAAACAGACGGGACATTACAAAAAGAAGGCATATTTCTTCAGAGAAAGATAAAGAAAAAAGACGAATGTTGGAAATGCACCGATATTTTGGAGAGTCCCAACAGAAGTGACTCCTTGCAATTTTCCATTCAATGAGCTGTTTTATTTCTAAAGAGAGAAAAGTGAACCATCAAACTGCAACCAAGGGAAGGAATAAACGAATTTTGGTTTGGGTGCAATTTGCCGATTTTCCACCTCTTCGTCAAACACTTTTTTAAAACACATTAGAACAAATACCTCTCTCCGATTTTCAAAAGTGCATGATGAATGGCATTTCACTTGTCTGAAAAATACACGTATAGCACAATGACGTGAAGATTGCAATTTTGTCATCCACAGTCGTTGGCATCCATTTGCTTTGTGTGACCCCTTGTTCGTTCATTTAAATGGAAAACCGCATGAATTAGGGTTAATCTCAGTGTAACAAGAACATTGCCCAGATTGTAAGTTTAAAAAGGGATTAATCAGTTGCACTCCTTTGACAGTTTTAGAAAATCTCATAGTATAAGATTTTACCCATGAAGTGTATTCTGCCCTCATCAATGCCATTGTCAGCATATACCAACGTTATAATAGCTGTAATAAACACAATGACACTCGATTTTCATTATTTGGAAACCATGGTACGAAGAAGCCCGTCGTGTAGTTCTTCAAAAGCAAATCTAGTTATCCATGAGTATTCTCATTCCTCCACCATGCATAAAATCTAAAAAGATCCAAGAACTCCTCAGTGTTCCGACTGGGCCAATACCGGTACTCTACTTGACCATCCATCCGTCCGTCCATCCATCCATCCATCCATCCACATCCATCCATCCACATACATACATACATACATACATACATACATACATACATACATATTTACAAAGCTTGTTCCAGTCACACGTGCAGATCCCCAGTAATGTTGCACAACTGTATTATTCATTTGACACAGCAGTATTCCGCAACTCATGTTTTCGTAGTTCCGTTTCCATAACGACTCGAAGATTTTGAGTCGTTTTGAAAGGTGAAAACCAATAACCAGTTTTTGATTTTGTTTTGTTTTTGATTTTCTTTTTGTCTGTTTTGTTTTATTTTGTTTCGATCATGCCACAAGACAATTTTTAAAATAAATAATAAAAAATAATCCATTAAGATGGAGTGGAGTACATGTAAACTCGCGGAGAAATTGGATTGTTTTTCCCCGAATACAGAGACGAGCAGGAAAAACTCTGTCCACACTGTAAGCCTACTACATTCATTATCAGTGTGAATGGTCCTACCTTCAGTAGGGTCGTTAGTAGCCTCCGGAACTGCAGAAGTGATTTCCAAGAGTGTGCAGTTTCCCGTGACACGATCACACGTTACACCAGTATCACAGGAACATTCGTCCAAGCAGTTAGCCCCAAATCGATCAGCTGGACAAGCTTTACTGCAATCAGGATCCATCCAACCAGGAGTGCAGGAACAAGACCCGTTTACCGGATCACAGGTCGCTTCATTTAGACAGGTGCAGTTCTTCGCACACGCGAAGCCGTATGTATAAGAATCACATGGCTCGCTGCAGTTAGGAGGTTTCCACCCGGTATCACAACTACACCCGTTAATGGGATCGCAGTGGCTGTTTGCTGAGGTGCAGTCGCAGGTACCAG